GCTGTCCAGGTCCATGGGTCCCTCTCTCATGCCCATGTGCCACTTTCAGGTCTCCTGCCACACACTCACTGCTGGTGTGTTCAATTTTTTGACATAGGGTGCTGGCAGATTACGGGCCTCCCATAGCTGCTGCCAGGCCCCTAATCTGCCATGGCCCCTATACCGCCTCCTCATGCTGCTGCCAGGTCCAGAGTCTGTCATGGGTCCCTGTACGGCCTCCCATTGCTGCTGTCTCCATCGCCACACTCTGCCATGTGCCACTTTCAGGTCTCCTCACACTGCTGGTGTGAATTTTTTGTCATAGGGTGCTGGCAGATTACGGGCCTCCCATAGCTGCTGCCAGGCCCCTAATCTGCCATGGGCCCCTTATATACCGCCTCCTCATGCTGCTGCCAGGTCCAGAGTCTCTCATGGGTCCCTGTACGGCCTCCCATTGCTGCTGTCTCCATCGCCACACTCTGCCATGTGCCACTTTCAGGTCTCTCACACACTGCTGGTGTGTTGAATTTTTTGACATAGGGTGCTGGCAGATTACGGGCCTCCTATAGCTGCTGCCAGGCCCCTAATCTGCCATGGGCCCCTATATATACCTCCTCCTCATGCTGCTGCCAGGTCCAGAGTCTCTCATGGGTCCCTGTACGGCCTCCCATTGCTGCTGTCTCCATCGCCACACTCTGCCATGTGCCACTTTCAGGTCTCCTCACACACTGCTGCTGTGTGTGTTGAATTTTTTGACATAGGGTGCTGGCAGATTACGGGCCTCCCATAGCTGCTGCCAGGCCCCTAATCTGCCATGGGCCCCTATATACCGCCTCCTCATGCTGCTGCTGCCAGGTCCAGAGTCTCTCATGGGTCCCTGTACGGCCTCCCATTGCTGCTGTCTCCATCGCCACACTCTGCCATGTGCCACTTTCAGGTCTCTTCACACTGCTTGTGTGTTCAATTTTTTGACATAGGGTGCTGGCAGATTACGGGCCTCCCATAGCTGCTGCCAGGCCCCTAATCTGCCATGGGCCCCTATATATACCGCCTCCTCATGCTGCTGCCAGGTCCAGAGTCTCTCATGGGTCCCTGTACGGCCTCCCATTGCTGCTGTCTCCATCGCCACACTCTGCCATGTGCCACTTTCAGGTCTCCTCACACTGCTGGTGTGTTACATTTTTTGTCATAGGGTGCTGGCAGATTACGGGCCTCCCATAGCTGCTGCCAGGCCCCTAATCTGCCATGGGCCCCTATATACCGCCTCCTCATGCTGCTGCCAGGTCCAGAGTCTCTCGGGTCCCTGTACGGCCTCCCATTGCTGCTGTCTCCATCGCCACACTCTGCCATGTGCCACTTTCAGGTCTCCTCACACTGCTGTGTGTGTAGAATTTTTTGACATAGGGTGCTGGCAGATTACGGGCCTCCCATAGCTGCTGCCAGGCCCCTAATCTGCCATGGGCCCCTATATACCGCCTCCTCATGCTGCTGCCAGGTCCAGAGTCTCTCATGGGTCCCTGTACGGCCTCCCATTGCTGCTGTCTCCATCGCCACACTCTGCCATGTGCCACTTTCAGGTCTCTTCACACTGCTTGTGTTTTCAATTTTTTGACATAGGGTGCTGGCAGATTACGGGCCTCCCATAGCTGCTGCCAGGCCCCTAATCTGCCATGGGCCCCTATATACCGCCTCCTCATGCTGCTGCCAGGTCCAGAGTCTCTCATGGGTCCCTGTACGGCCTCCCATTGCTGCTGTCTCCATCGCCACACTCTGCCATGTGCCACTTTCAGGTCTCCTCACACTGCTGGTGTGTGTTACAATTTTTTGTCATAGGGTGCTGGCAGATTACGGGCCTCCATAGCTGCTGCCAGGCCCCTAATCTGCCATGGGCCCCTATATACCGCCTCCTCATGCTGCTGCCAGGTCCAGAGTCTCTCATGGGTCCCTGTACGGCCTCCCATTGCTGCTGTCTCCATCGCCACACTCTGCCATGTGCCACTTTCAGGTCTCCTCTCACACTGCTGGTGTGTAGAATTTTTTGACATAGGGTGCTGGCAGATTACGGGCCTCCCATAGCTGCTGCCAGGCCCCTAATCTGCCATGGGCCCCTATATACCGCCTCCTCATGCTGCTGCCAGGTCCAGAGTCTCTCATGGGTCCCTGTATACGGCCTCCCATTGCTGCTGTCTCCATCGCCACACTCTGCCATGTGCCACTTTCAGGTCTCCTCACACACTGCTGTGTGTTTTCAATTTTTTGACATAGGGTGCTGGCAGATTACGGGCCTCCCATAGCTGCTGCCAGGCCCCTAATCTGCCATGGGCCCCTATATACCGCCTCCTCATGCTGCTGCCAGGTCCAGAGTCTCTCATGGGTCCCTGTACGGCCTCCCATTGCTGCTGTCTCCATCGCCACACTCTGCCATGTGCCACTTTCAGGTCTCCTCACACTGCTGGTGTGTTAATTTTTTGTCATAGGGTGCTGGCAGATTACGGGCCTCCCATAGCTGCTGCCAGGCCCCTAATCTGCCATGGGCCCCTATACCGCCTCCTCATGCTGCTGCCAAGTCCAGAGTCTGTCATGGGTCCCTGTACGGCCTCCCATTGCTGCTGTCTCCATCGCCACACTCTGCCATGTGCCACTTTCAGGTCTCCTCACACACTGCTGGTGTGTAGAATTTTTTGACATAGGGTGCTGGCAGATTACGGGCCTCCTATAGCTGCTGCCAGGCCCCTAATCTGCCATAGGCCCCTATATACCGCCTCCTCCTCATGCTGCTGCCAGGTCCAGAGTCTCTCATGGGTCCCTGTACGGCCTCCCATTGCTGCTGTCTCCATCGCCACACTCTGCCATGTGCCACTTTCAGGTCTCCTCACACTGCTGGTGTGTTCAATTTTTTGACATAGGGTGCTGGCAGATTACGGGCCTCCCATAGCTGCTGCCAGGCCCCTAATCTGCCATGGCCCCTATACCGCCTCCTCATGCTGCTGCCTCCTCTCATGGGTCCCTGCTGCCATTGCTGCTGTCTCCACAGTCTCTCATGCCATGTGCCACTTTCAGGTCTCCTCACACACTGCTGGTGTGTTACATTTTTTGTCATAGGGTGCTGGCAGATTACGGGCCTCCATAGCTGCTGCCAGGCCCCTAATCTGCCATGGGCCCCTATACCGCCTCCTCATGCTGCTGCCAAGTCCAGAGTGTGTCATGGGTCCCTGTACGGCCTCCCATTGCTGCTGCTGTCTCCATCGCCACACTCTGCCATGTGCCACTTTCAGGTCTCCTCACACTGCTGGTGTGTGTGTAGAATTTTTTGACATAGGGTGCTGGCAGATTACGGGCCTCCCCATAGCTGCTGCCAGGCCCCTAATCTGCCATAGGCCCCTATATACCGCCTCCTCATGCTGCTGCCAGGTCCAGAGTCTCTCATGGGTCCCTGTACGGCCTCCCATTGCTGCTGTCTCCATCGCCACACTCTGCCATGTGCCACTTTCAGGTCTCCTCACACTGCTGGTGTGTAGAATTTTTTGACACATAGGGTGCTGGCAGATTACGGGCCTCCTATAGCTGCTGCCAGGCCCCTAATCTGCCATGGGCCCCTATATACCGCCTCCTCATGCTGCTGCCAGGTCCAGAGTCTCTCATGGGTCCCTGTACGGCCTCCCATTGCTGCTGTCTCCATCGCCACACTCTGCCATGTGTGCACTTTTCAGGTCTCTCACACACTGCTGGTGTGTTCAATTTTTTGACATAGGGTGCTGGCAGATTACGGCCTCCCATAGCTGCTGCCAGGCCCCTAATCTGCCATGGGCCCCTATATACCGCCTCCTCATGCTGCTGCCAGGTCCACAGTCTCTCATGCCATGTGCCACTTTCAGGTCTCCTCACACTGCTGGTGTGTTACATTTTTTGTCATAGGGTGCATGTGGCAGATTACGGGCCTCACATAGCTGCTGCCAGGCCCCTAATCTGCCATGGGCCCCTATACCGCCCCCTCCTCATGCTGCTGCCAAGTCCAGAGTGTGTCATGGGTCCCTGTACGGCCTCCCATTGCTGCTGTCTCCATCGCCACACTCTGCCATGTGCCACTTTCAGGTCTCCTCACACTGCTGGTGTGTAGAATTTTTTGACATAGGGTGCTGGCAGATTACGGGCCTCCTAGAGCTGCTGCCAGGCCCCTAATCTCTGCCATAGGCCCCTATATACCACCTCCTCATGCTGCTGCCAGGTCCAGAGTCTCTCATGGGTCCCTGTACGGCCTCCCATTGCTGCTGTCTCCATCGCCACACTCTGCCATGTGCCACTTTCAGGTCTCTTCACACTGCTTGTGTGTTGAATTTTTTGACATAGGGTGCTGGCAGATTACGGGCCTCCCATAGCTGCTGCCAGGCCCCTAATCTGCCATGGGCCCCTATATACCGCCTCCTCATGCTGCTGCCAGGTCCAGAGTCTCTCATGCCATGTGCCACTTTCAGGTCTCCTCACACACTGCTGGTGTGTTCAATTTTTTGTCATAGGTTGCTGGCAGATTTCGGGCCTCCTATAGCTGCTGCCAGCCCCTAATCTGCCATGGGCCCCTATACCGCCTCCTCATGCTGCTGCCAGGTCCAGAGTCTCTCATGGGTCCCTGTACGGCCTCCCATTGCTGCTGTCTCCATCGCCACACTCTGCCATGTGCCACTTTCAGGTCTCCTCACACACTGCTGGTGTGTTCAATTTTTTGTCATAGGGTGCTGGCAGATTACGGCCTCCTATAGCTGCTGCCAGGCCCCTAATCTGCCATGGGCCCCTATACCGCCTCCTCATGCTGCTGCCAGGTCCAGAGTCTCTCATGGGTCCCTGTACGGCCTCCCATTGCTGCTGTCTCCATCGCCACACTCTGCCATGTGCCACTTTCAGGTCTCCTCACACACTGCTGGTGTGTTACATTTTTTGTCATAGGGTGCTGGCAGATTACGGGCCTCCCATTGCTGCTGCCAGGCCTGTAATCTGCCATGGGCCCCCGTACCGCCTGGTCACGCTGCTGCTGGGTCCACAGTGTGACATGGGTCCTTGTACCGCCTCCCATTGCTCCCACTCTGCCATGTGCCACTTTCAGGTCTCCTCACACTCCTGCTGGTTTCCATTTTGTCATAGGTTGCTGTATGGCCTCCCATTGCTGCTGCCTCCACCGCCACACTGTGGCTCCAAACACTGGTTTTGGCCCCGTGACTGGCCAAATGAGTGAAGTGTGCGTGATTCTAAGATCGACGGCACTCATCTGCATGTCATTCTGACTGACAGTATTATTTCTCTTCCCCAGCAGACTCCAAGGGCATTTAAATTAAAGGTACAGTGTTCTGCACTAATATTAAGTCTCTCTGAAGCCTAGAAACACCCTTTTTTAAGTTAAATTCACAGCGAATTTATTCGACTCGAATCGAATATTGTCCACGAATTCGCCGAATCAGTCGAATCGAATTTTCATTTCTTCGCTCATCTCTAGCAGCTACCTTTGGGTTAATTATCAATGTATTATATATTTAACTTCACTTAATTGAGTTAATATTAGGAGGAGGGTTGTTGTCATCCATAGAATCACGCAAGATTTTATATATATATATATATATATATATATATATATATATATATATATATATATATATTTATTTGTTGCTTCCATTGTTTTAGGGAAGTTCACGTCATACAAAGCTGTGCTTAACAAAGGGTCAACAATAGCCTAACCTTTTGATATATTTGACCTATGGCGTGTATGATACAACAGTGCCATCTAGAATTTGAGTTGGGAAATGTTTCACTCATAGAATATTAATGTAAAGGAAGTAGTTAGAAAAGGACACAGTCATGTGGGAAATATTAAACTTTCTAAATAAAAGGCCAGCTCATATTTTAAGCTCTAGCAATACCTGTCTGGCTGGGCCAATACATGAGGATGTAATGCCTCCCCCCCCCACCTTTTTTTTTGTTTCTTCTCTTCCCCTATCATCTCACCCTATAATTCTTTCTACTACTGTCTTTCTTTCTAACCTCTTGTCTTTACACCTGTTATTTCCCTGTATCATTTCTTCTCTACCAACCAAATAGAGCATTTACCTGCACACAGATATGACTAACTTCAACCATAACACATACGCTAGCTATAAATATGTAAACAATGACCGTCACAGCACCCAATGCTTTCCCTACCCTTACCCCTTTCATCACACAACTTTACCATTAAAAAGTTGATGAGAGTCAGGACGAGATATAATTCACTAACAGCATTTTATCCATTTTCTTCTTGGTATCCACCATTTTACTTTTTATGATGGATGTACTGTTCTACATGATTTCGTCTTGCACAACTGTTTACAATTTGTCCCGTCTGCGAAACGGAAAGCAACATGTCATGTCTATGTTTTGACTGTGATCTATGGCTGTACATGCTCTAAATGCTTTTGTCTTCTCTTAAAACAATAAAGTATTTTTGGGAAAAAAATAAATAAAAGGCCAGCAGCATAACCTGAAAAGAGGGGCTCTATAACAACAAAGGAAGATCTGTGCCAGAGGGCTCCATAACACCAAGGAACTTCACCTGGAGATAACACTTGCACATGATTTCCTACAGTCACTTGTAGAATAAAGTCTGGAACCCTAGTTTCCTATGGAGATCATGTAGCTACTATAAACTAAGCTAAGTGACTTTGAGAGTATTCCTATTGTACAAAGACCATTGTTCATTCTCAGTCTTCAGGAAGTTTAGGTAGCATGTGCATGTGTTATATGTATGCCTGTTATACTTTGTATATCTTGTATTGTTTTCCTACAATTGTAAGTAGTTTTTTGTACAGCAATCTTGTTTAGTAAAGCACATTAATACACTATAGAGCAGGGGTCTCCAAACTTTATTAACGAAGGGCCAGTCTACTGTCCTTCAGACTTTATGGGGGCCAGACTGTGGCCAGTGGGAGAAGAAAATGTCCTGGCATCAGTGGGAGTAAACAATGCCTCATCAGTGGTATTAACGGGAGATATAGTGCTCCATCACTGGTATCAGTGGGAGGAATAGTTTCCCATTATTGGTGTCAGTGGGAGGAATAGTGTCCCATTGTTGGCGTCAGTGGGAGCAATAATATCCCATCATTGGTGTCAGTGCGAGGAATAGCGCCCTATCATTGGTTTCAGTGGAAGGAATGATGCCCCACTATTGGTGTCAGTGGAAGAAATAGTGCCCCATCATTGGTGTCAGTGGGAGGAATGAGTCCCATTACTGGTGTCAGTAGGAGGAAATAGTGCCCCATCATTGGTGTCAGTAGGAAGAATAATGCTCCGTTTTTGTTGTCAGTGGAAGGAATAGTGCCTGATCATTTGTGTCAGTGGGAGGAATAATGCCCCATTATTGGTGTCAGTGGAAGGAATAGTGTACCATTGTTGGTGTCAGTGGAAAGAATAGTGCCCCACTGTTGCTGATGGTGGGGGGAATAATGCCCCAAGGACCGGATAAAAGCAACCAAAGGGCTGCATCCGGCCCCGTGGGCCGCAGTTTGGAGACAACAGCTATAGAGATTTATGCATCCTATGCTACCATCCAGCAAAGTGACCTAAAATGATTAAAAAATAATAACTATATTCAGTGTCAACGTTTAACTGTAATTGTATCTACTATAAATACTAATCCACTCTATTGAGGTGAACTTGTCCTTGTGGCGCCTTCAAGGCCTAATTCAAGATTAAACCCCCATTTTTGGTCATAGGCCTTGGCTTTTCTCGAAGCCATGATTAAAGCATTCCCCTTCCTGATGATAAGATCCACTCTTTGTCATGATTATGTCAAATTCCAAAATCTTTAGAGATTATTGAAGCAGATATTTGACAATTTTATAATGGGATGGGGCTTAGCAAACATAACCATTTTTCCTACTTATACTTATTGCTGCTAAATACGTCTGCACTCTCCTATCTCCTCCGTTTGTTTGTTTGTATGTATGTACATAAGCAAGTATATGTATATATTTACTTGGAGCTTCTATGTAGAGGAAAGTGCATGCAGTTGGATTCCCTGTAGAATAGGCAATTACTGGTTTATTTTTTGTAAATATATTCATACAGCTCTTTCTGCAAGCAAAAAATCCTTTGGGAGTCAGAACAGTTAGGCTGCCCTTTGTGAACTCACAATTATGTGGATGTGACTCAAACAAAAATTAATAAAAAGAAATTTACAGCAGCCTCATTTTATTTGCAGAAATAACTGTCAGATTGGTCTGATTGAATATTTTACAATAGCTGCTAAAACACTGCATTATTGTTTTAATATGAAAGGTAGTACATTATATCCTAAAATGTCATAAGGTTGTTTATCTGTAACTTATAATACAGCTGTTAAATATTTATTGATATGCAAAAAATAGACCTCTGTCTGTGCATAGCAGTGATGTTCTCATTAAAGAGTCTTCTGGCTTTATTGTGTTAAGGTAAGTTTGACTGGTAGTCCCTTTCAGTATGGGAGCTGCACAGCATGCCTTGCAGATTATGTCTCTGATCCCTGGGTCATTTGATTGACAGACCCAGAGGAGGGTGCAGAAGAAAGGACGACAATCATTGACTGCATAGGAAGCCTAGACTTTAACCCCACCCCAGAGAGGTCTTAAAGCAGAGCTCCACCCAAAAGGGGAAGTTCTGATTTAATGCTTTGTCCCCCACTCCCCATTAAGGATTGGTACCTTTGGGGAGCTGGTACCCAAATTTGGCAGGTACCCACTGTCACTTCTGCTGCGATCACCTAGGCGATCAGAAGCAGCAGTTGTCTTCCCTCCCCGTAGTCTTTTGGGACACATCACAGGTCCCAGAAGACTACAGGGCCATACACAAAGCACGCAGTGCTTCTCGCGCATGCATAGTGGGCACCCACACTAACAATGTCGGTGCCAGGGAGAGAAGACAGTCAGTGAAACCAGTGGTGGTGAGGACACCGCTGGATTGAGGGACAGGTAAGTGGCTGTATTTTAAAAGTCAGCAGCTACAGTTTTTATAGCTGCTGACTTTTTTTTTTTTCCCAGCTGGAACTCCATTTTAAGGAAACCTAATAGAGACATTTTTATTTACCTTTTACCCACCATCTTCCAGCCAGGACACTGCAACCTACTCCTCATCTGCCTTCATCCAGCATACAGGAGCTGCCATCAGAAGACAGACCACATCCAGAAAGGCATTAGTTGGATGCTAAAGCAGTGAACAACCTTTTGGCCATCCAGAGTGTATTTGACTTTGTCTAAAATTTTTGGGACACTTCTACATATGGTGGAGTCTCCTTAAAAGGGTCCATCCCATCCTTTAGACTGATAGCTGTTTAGGATATTTTGTAATGATACCTTTACTCTTACCATTACCACAGTAGTTAACCTTATTCCTTTGGCTCCACTTTGAGGATATTTGCTGTTTATTGCTGCTTGCAATGCCATTCTCCACTCACCCAGTATGTTTGAGGCAAGGTCCCTAACAGGTGGAAAAGGGAATGATAACCAGACCTCGCTTTACCTTTTGAATGTTGAATCATTCAACTGCCATTGAACTGTTGTGAATTCCAATGTAAAAATGTTTACCTAGTACTATTCTTTAGGGCTTATCTCTCCACTCTCCACTATTTGTGTATTGGTATATTGTCAGGTTTGATTACAGGTTGTGTTGTCACTGGGAAAGATAAGACAGCCCATCATTTAACAACAGCTTCTACAAGGGTATAAAAGGCAATATCATCTGAGATTCTTCTAGCCCTCTTTGCAGGGTGATGACTGCACTAGGAAGTGTCAGAAAATATACTTCGATGCTACCACCAAGTTGTATGAACAGCAGTATGCCAAGTCATACTTAGCCTCCCTGGAAAAATTTAGACTGAAACTCAAATCTGTAATATGTTCACATTATTGTCTACTGAGTACTGAGTATATGTCTTCAACTGTACAAAGGAATTCAGATAATATGATAAACTCATGCTTTGTAAATTAAGACAGGTGCAGCACCTAACCAAGTCTGAATACCGCACCTACAGTTAAGGCCATATATATTTGTACACAGGCACAATTTTCATACTTCTGGCTCTGTATGCCACCAGAATAAATTAAAACAAAACAATCCAAATGAATTTGAAGTGCAGAGTTTCAGCTTTAATTCAGGGGTTAAAAATAAATATTAAGTACAAATTTTAGGAGTTTCAGAGGCTCTAATGTATTTGGACAAATGAATATAATCATAAATAAAATGTTCATCTTTAATATTTTTTTGAGAATCCTTATCCTTAGAATGACTACCTGAAGCCTGGAACCCATGGACATTACCAAAGATTGGGTTTCCTCCTTTCTGATGCTTTGCCAGGCTCTAACTGCAGCTGTCTTCAGTTGTTCTTTGTTTGTGGGTCTTTCTGCCTTTAGTTTTGCCTTCAGCAAGTGAAATGCATGCTCAAATGGATTGAGATCAGGTGATTGACCCCACCATTGCAGAATATTCCACTTCATTTCCTTCAAAAGCTCCTGGGTTGCTTTTGCAGTTTGTATTGGATCATTGTCCATCTGTACTGTGAAGCACTGTCCAATCAACTTTGCTGCATTTGGCTGAATCTGGGCTGACAGTATATCTATAAACATTGCAGAATTCATCTGGCTTCTTCTGTCTTCTGTCACATCATCAATAAATACCAATGACCCAGTGCCACTGGAAGCCATACATGTCCATGCCATCGCACTGACTCACACAGAGCACTTATCACCGGATGTGAAAGAGATTTTTGTTCACTTGATTTCACATTTGGGACTTTATTTCACTATTTATTGTTATGTGTTTATTATTTAAGCATGTTTTTCATGTCATATAACATACATTGAGGCAGCGCTCCTGCTATTTTGTGTATTATCACACTGACTCCACCATGTTTTACAGATGACTTTGTGTGCTTTGGATCATGAGCTGTTCCAAGCCTTGTCCACATTTTTTTTCTTCCAGTAATTCTGGTGCAAAAAATTAATCTTAGTTCCATCCATCCAAAGAATGCTTTTCCAGAACTGGTCTGGCTTTTTTAGATTTTTTTTTTGGAAAAGTCTAATCTGTTTTTTCTATTCAGGCTTATTAATGGTTTTCACCTTGTGGTGAACCCTCTGTATTTGCTCTCATGAAGTCTTGTCTTGATTGTAGACTTTGACAATGATACACCCACCTCCTGGAGAGTGTCCTTCACTTGTCTGGATGTTGTCTGGGTTTTTCTTTACCATAGAGAGGATCCTGCGATCATCCACCAATGTTGTCTTACGTGGACGTCCATGCCTTTTTATGTTGCTGAGCTCACCATTGTGTTCTTCTTTCCTCAGAATGTACCAAATAGAGATGAGCGAATCGAACTTGGCGAAGTGGAATTCGTTTAGAATATTAGGAAAAATTCGATTCCGAAAATTAGCATACTTCGGATGCGCGAATCGAAATTTTTCCAAAAATGGCGGCGACATGTGTGGCGATGGAGCGGGGATCTATGGGAAGGCGCGCAGACAAGGCACGCTGACCCATAATGCATTCATTCATGACATGTGATCGCATTAGCCAATCAGCAGTCAGCCAGCCAGCACTGTGTAATGGTGGAGCTATAAATTGCGGCCATCTTACAATTCTCCATTTGCCTCCGGTCATTCAAGAGAGACAGACCTGTCTGTATTAGGGACAGAGTTAGGGCCACAGATACTTTAGGGACACAGAATCGTTACTTAGGGACACAGAATCGTTACTCAGGGACACAGAATCGTTACTCAGGGACACAGAACTGTTACTCAGGGACACAGAATTGTTACTCAGGGACACAGAATTGTTACTGAGGGACACAGAATTGTTACTGAGGGACGCAGAATTGATACTCAGGGACACAGAACTGTTACTCAGGGACACAGAACTGTTACTCAGGGAAAGACACAGAATTGTTACTGAGGGACACAGAATTGTTACTGAGGGACACAGAATTGTTACTGAGGGACACAGAATTGTTACACAGGGACAGACACAGAATTGTTACTGAGGGACACAGAATTGTTACTGAGGGACACAGAATTGTTACTGAGGGACACAGAATTGTTACTCAGGGACACAGAATTGTTACTCAGGGACACAGAACTGTTACTCAGGGACACAGAATTGTTACTCAGGGACAGACACAGAATTGTTATGAGGGACACAGAATTGTTACTGAGGGACACAGAATTGTTACTGAGGGACACAGAATTGTTACTCAGGGACACAGAATTGTTACTCAGGGACACAGAACTGTTACTCAGGGACACAGAATTGTTACTCAGGGACAGACACAGAATTGTTACTGAGGGACACAGAATTGTTACTGAGGGACACAGAATTGTTACTCAGGGACACAGAATTGTTACTCAGGGACACAGAATTGTTACTGAGGGACACAGAATTGTTACTCAGGGACACAGAATTGTTACTCAGGGACACAGAACTGTTACTCAGGGACACAGAACTGTTACTCAGGGACACAGAATTGTTACTCAGGGACAGACACAGAATTGTTACTGAGGGACACACAGAATTGTTACTCAGGGACACAGAATTGTTACTCAGGGACACAGAACTGTTATTCAGGGACACAGAACTGTTACTGAGGGACAGACACAGAATTGTTACTGAGGGACACAGAATTTGTTACTGAGGGACACAGAATTGTTACTGAGGGACACAGAATTGTTACTCAGGGACAGACACAGAATTGTTACTCAGGGACAGACACAGAATTGTTACTCAGGGACACAGAATTGTTACTCAGGGACACAGAACTGTTACTCAGGGACACAGAACTGTTACTCAGGGACACAGAACTGTTACTCAGGGACAGACACAGAATTGTTACTGAGGGACACAGAATTGTTACTCAGGGACACAGAATTGTTACTCAGGGACACAGAACTGTTACTCAGGGACACAGAACTGTTACTGAGGGACAGACACAGAATTGTTACTGAGGGACACAGAATTGTTACTGAGGGACACAGAATTGTTACTGAGGGACACAGAATTGTTACTCAGGGACAGACACAGAATTGTTACTGAGGGACACAGAATTGTTACTGAGGGACACAGAATTGTTACTCAGGGACACAGAATTGTTACTCAGGGACACAGAATTGTTACTCAGGGACACAGAATTGTTACTCAGGGACACAGAACTGTTACTCAGGGACACAGAATTGTTACTCAGGGACAGACACAGAATTGTTACTGAGGGACACAGAATTGTTACTGAGGGACACAGAATTGTTACTGAGGGACACAGAACTGTTACTGAGGGACACATAACTGTTACTGAGGGACACAGAACTGTTACTCAGGGACACAGAATTGTTACTCAGGGACACAGAACTGTTACTCAGGGACACAGAACTGTTACTCAGGGACAGACACAGAATTGTTACTGAGGGACACAGAATTGTTACTGAGGGACACAGAATTGTTACTCAGGGACAGACACAGAATTGTTACTCAGGGGACAGACACAGAATTGTTACTGAGGGGACACAGAATTGTTACTGAGGGACACAGAATTGTTACCTAGGGACACAGAATTGTTACTGAGGGACACAGAATTGTAACTGAGGGACACAGAATTGTTACTCAGGGACACAAAATTGTTACTCAGGGACACAGAACTGTTACTCAGGGACACAGAATTGTTACTCAGGGACAGACACAGAATTGTTACTCAGGGACAGACACAGAATTGTTACTGAGGGACACAGAATTGTTACTGAGGGACACAGAATTGTTCCTGAGGGACACAGAATTGTTACTGAGGGACACAGAACTGTTACTCAGGGACACAGAATCGTTACTCAGGGACACAGAATTGTTGAATTAAAGAGTATGTCAGACAACACGCAGAGGAGTGTCAGAGGAGGCCATGTTTTAGGGAGCGAGCAGACGTGGCAGCAGAGGAAGGGGTCGAGGGCAGCACTAGTCGCAGCCAGAGGCCAGTGTTCCCGGTGTCATCCAGCGGTCGTGTCTCCACCGACAACCCTGCCGTCATCGATTGGTTGGCTCGGTCGTCTTCCTCTTCCCAGGTCACCTCTGACACCTACAGCCAACGGTCGGTGGGTACGTCAGACACAACCGTTAGTTGGCATGGCTCGGGAGCAAGCCCACTGAAATCACGTGTCCTCGACCTGCCCCTGTCCTTTGGTGCTCCCTCACCAAGCGAAGTATCGCATGCTGTGGGCTCAGCCCCACTGTACAGTGAGGAAGAGCTAACAGAGGGGGGTCAGGAACGGGGGGAGACATCCGCCTCTTCAGCAGCCAGGCGAAGAAGTACTGGTGAGGAGAGTGGCTCGGTAAGGCCGGTCTAGAGACAGGTCTGTCTCCTGACCCACACGCAGGCCGAGGGGGCTAGTAGTGAGGCGGAGACCCTAATTGATGATGATGAGGATGATCGCACTTGGCAGCCTCGTCGTCATCAGGCTATTGCTTCCGCGATCATCTAGTTTCAGCCCCCCCCCCCCCCCCTGGAGAAAAGGGTGGGCAGCTTGGCAGCGAGCAAAACAGTCGGTGGGTTGCCCAGGGAGGCAGCAGGGTCGCAGCAGTGTCAGTGGAGGCAAATTGGCCACGGGAGTAGAACGGAAGTAGAGCACCAGCTCCCACTGCAGCAGCTACCACCACGGCCAGTAGTGGTGCGGTGTGCACGGAGGAAAAGTAGCAAGTCAGCCAGTGAGGAGTAGCGGGGGCAAAGTTTCCTACTCGGCGGTGTGACTGGTGTGGCAATTTTTCGGGTCAAGCATCGCCCGATGGAAAGTAATAGTAGCCGTATGTCGACTATGTGGCCAGAAAGTCAAGCGTGGCCAGGGGGCCCATGTCTCCTCGACCACACTCTGCCATGTGCCACTTTCAGGTTCTCCTCACACTGCTGTTGGTTTCCATTTTGTTTCATAGGGTGCTGGCAGATTACGGGCCTCCCATTGCTGCTGCCATGGGCCCGTAATCTGCCATGGGCCCCGTACCGCCTCCTCATGCTGCTGCCAGGGTCCAGAGTGGTGTCTCATGGGTCCCTGTACGGCCTCCCATTGCTGCTGTCTCGCATCGCCACACTCTGCCATGGTGCCACTTTCAGGTCTCCTCACACTGCTGTTGGTTTCCATTTTGTCCATTAGGGTGCTGGCAGATTACGGGCCTCCATTGCTGCTGCCAGGCCCGTAATCTGCCATGGGGGGCCCCCGTATGTGCCGCCTCATCATGCTGTGGCCTGGCTCCCTGATGAGCGTAGTGTGTCATGGGTCCCCTGTACGGCCTGCCCATTGCTGCTGTCTCCATCGCGTCACACTCTGCCATGTGCAACACTTTCAGGTCTCCTCACACTGTGGTGGGTTCCATTTTGTCATAGGGGTCCTGTCAGATTACGGGCCTCCATTGCTGCTGCCAGGCCCGTAATCTGCCATGGGCCCCTGTACCGCCCTCCTCATTGCTGCTGCCAGGTCCAGAGTGTTCTCATGGGTCCCTGTACGGCCTCCCATTGCTGCTGTCTCCATCGCCACACTCTGCCATGTGCCACTTTCAGGTCTCCTCACACTGCTGTTGGTTTCCATTTTGTCTAGGGGGTGCTGGCAGATTCGGTCCCCGTACGAGGTTTTGCTGCTGCCAGGCCCGTAAGTAATCGTCATGGTGCCGACTGTAGCTGGTCCTTTCATGTTTTGCTGCCAGTGTCAGGATAGAGTGTCTCTTGGGTCCCTGTACATGGCTCCTCCCATTTGCTGCTGTCTGCAGGCCTATAGTAATATTGTCATGTGCCACTTCAGGTCTCTCACATGCCTTTTGTGTGTCACATTTTTATAGGGTGTGGCAAGATTACGGGCCTCCCATTGCTGCTGCCAGGCCCATATCTGCCATGGGCTCCTGTACCGCTCTCCTGCTTGATGATGCCTGGTCGCCAGACTCTGTCCAGGTGTCCACTGTATTTCAGGCCTCCCACTGCTGGTGGGTTCCATTTTGTCATCGGGGTGCCATGTGCCAGTTTCTGGTCTCCTCGCATTGCTTGTGAGGCAAGTCCATAATCTGTCACTAGGGTGCAGGCAGAGTACGAGCTCTCCCATTGATGCTGCTTTAGGCCGTAATTCTCATGGGCCCCGGTACCGCTTCACTCATTGCTGATGCCAGGCCAGTAGTGATGTCATGGGTCACTGTACGGCCTCCCATTGCTGCTGTCTCCATCGCCACACTCTGCCATGTGCCCACTTTCAGGTTTCCTCACAATGTGGCTGGGTTCCATTTTGGTCATAGGGTGTGGCAGATTACGGGCCTCCCATTGCTGGGTGCCAGGCCCGTAATCTGCATGGGCCCCACGTACCGCCTCTTCATGCTGATGCCAGGCCCGTGAGTGTGTCATGGGTCCCTGTACGGCCTACCATTGCTGCTGTCTTCATCGCCACACTCTGCCATGTGCCACTTTCCAAGGTCTCCTCACCATGCTGGTGGTTCCTTTTTGTCATAGGGTGCTGGCAGATTCGGCCTCCCATTGCTGCTGCCAGGCCCGTAATCCTGCCCCGGTACGCCTGTACCGCCTCCCTCATGCTGCTGGCCTGCGTCCTGAGTGTCTCATGGGTCCCTGTACGGCCTTCCCATTGCTGCTGTCTCATCACCCACACTCTGCCCATGTGCCACTTTCAGGTCTCCTCACACTGCTGTTGGTTTCCATTTTGTCATTGGGTGCTGGCAGATTACGGCCTCCCATTGCTGCTGCCAGGCCCGTAATCTGCCCTTGGGCCCCAGTAACCGCCCCTTATGCTGCTGCAGGCCCAGTAAGTGTGCCAAAAATGGGGGTCCCCTGTAACCGGACTCCCATTGCTGGGCTGTCTCCATCGCCACACTCTGCCATGTGCCACTTTCAGGTCTTCTAACACTGCCTGGTGGTTCCATTTTTGTCATAGGGTGCTGGCAGATTATGGCGCCTCCCCTTGCTGCTGCCAGGCCGTAATCTGCCATGGGCCTGTACGACTCCTCATGCTGTATGACGTTGCAAAAGGTGGAATTTCAACCTACATATGTTAACCGCCTTTACGATCAGCGAAAGGCCATCACCGATTTCCTGATGTTACAAGCGGTTAAGGTACTCCCATGTGTTAACTTAATTGTCAGCCATTGCAGTCAGCATGGCTCATGCCACTTGCTCAAGGCCCTTTGAGGACGGCACCACGCTATTCGTGAGTCGGAACAGGAATATGGGTGATGGAACGACGTCATTCCCCTGTTGCACGTCCTGGGGGGAAAAAAATGTTGGGTTAAAAATGGCGGTCAGGGGGGGCGGTTGAGTGGGGCACAGAAATTTAAGCCCTTTCCCCCGTGGGGGGCAGGCAGGAAGAAAAAGGGGGAGGTGAGGACATTGGGTTGGGTCAGGGGAAAAAATTGAGTGAAATGGGTGGTTTTTCCATCAGCGGACAGGGGGAGGAGCAGGGCATCTGGTTTGAGGAGGAGGGGGGGGAGGGAAAAGGGCCCCGCGCACCGTGGCAGTATGGGTGTGGGGATGGAGGGAGGGAGTCCCTTTGCATTCCTTGGCAAAAATGGCCCCTGCATGCTTGGTTGCCTTTTCGTAGCGCAGCCGAATAATAACCATCAGAAGGGGATAACTTTTGGCTGTCCACCTTTTTGGACCCCCTTCCGTTCAAAAAAAGGTGGCCTTTTTCACACCTGTGAGAGGGAGGGCCCCCCTAACGTACTTTAAAAAAACCCCCTTTGTGTCAGTTGGTCTCTGCCCTTTTTGCCCCCAACGTCCATCCTCAGAAATGTGGGCCTGTTTTCGCTGGTTCCATTGCCATGGCAGCAGGGGAGGGGGTGGGGTGGTAGGAGCGTGGCCCGGGTTTCCCCAGAAACGGCTGCCCCGGGCTGCAGCGATGAGGAGTTTGTTTCTTTTCCCCCGCGCAGTGAGGGGAAACTACTAACAGCCGCAAGCAGCGCAGCATAGGGGGCCCCGGAGCCGGGGCCTCAAACCAGGGGTCGGGCCCCTTTTTTGGACAGGACCCGCCAAACGGGTTTGGGGCAATCCCCCTTGGGCTAAAGGGGAACGAAACTTGGGCCCTTTTGGGCCCCCAATAGTGAAAATTTTCCCCGGGAAAAGGTGTCATGCCCCGGGGCCCAAATTTTGCGGTTTTGGGTTTGGAGCCG